CGATATAATATAATTTGTGCTGGATTATAAGATCTCAGATTTTAAACAGCGATTACGTAACTGATTTTGGTGGTCATTCTAGGGGGGTTTTAGTCGGTGATGTTGATCCTATGATTCCACCACATTCATCGCCTGGAAGACCACCTGGAAGCGTATTATAAATACCCTAAACAACACAAACTTTCGATTGTCCAACTTTAATACATTGACCATCAAGATCTTCGATAAAAGGACAGGTTGGTGCTTTGGCACTGCACTGAACACTAGTACAGCAGAAATGTTGTTTATCAGCTATATTAGCAACATACGACGATAGTGTGTTATATATACTACTAGACAAACAAGCGCTAAAGTCTGAACCAGCTTGAGCTAGTAAAGCATGAACTAGAATAAGTATGAATAAATTTATGGTATTCATGACTAATTAATTAATAATAATTCTTAATCAATTTTTTTTCTAAGACGAGGGATTTTATAAGTTTATTTAAGGTATTACCTAAATTACAATTTTGAAAAATCATTTAAACGTATAAGACTTAATCATATAGACATATGTTTTTCCATATTTGCTCATTACTAACCTAAAAAATTTCGTCGCTACAGTACAGTATATTAGAGTTAGTTTTCACTATTATTGTGTTAGAAAGAGCAAATTTTCATGAGAAAAACTTTTATTAGTGCGCATAAGTTAGGTTACCAGCAATTTTTTGGGTTGTTTTGATTTTTGTAATTCTTTGGCGTTATCTAATCTTGAAATTTGAACCTTTTTGGGCGGTAATTAAAAATGCTGGTAAATAAACTAAATCACATACTATTGATGAAATTGGTGAAATTGGAATTAATTTCACTAGCATCTCTAGTAGTTACACTAGAATACTATGTAAATTTTGCGTGTTGCGTTGCAATAAAATTTAACAGTTAAGTGATTATAATTCCTAATAATTTCTTGCGATATACAAGAGAGTACTATGGAAATTGTCTCAATATACGAGTTCAGCGCAATATCGAATGAATTATATGACTTTAAATATGTCCTGTTCACGAATTAACGGATGCCTTCTTAAGTGAATAAAGACACACCTTTCTTCTAAAAGAAAGCATATTTGTAATGTTCGCTACTACCCTTTTTAAAGTATATTTGAATGTATCAGATACTTAATTCATAACGTTATAATGTTGTCCCTCCATATATAATCAAGTCTTGACTTATTATAATTCCTAACTAGTGTCATCACTCCTCACTTTAAAGCCGTTAAAGTTATAATAAAAAATCCTACGCGTTTATGACATTCTACTCCTGTTATGTTTGCCACGTCATCTTACCCAGCGAGTCCATTACAGTATAAATATCATAGGCTCAATTTTACTAAAATATTGAAAATTTTTCCGGTGTTACTTTTGTAACCTAGTTTCGCCACATTTCTTCTTCCTTATTTGGTCCGGAATATAGTATTTTCCCTGTACCAGCACATCCTCCATATTACTTAACGTGTACCCTACTTCATCTCACGTACGTACAGTATTCCATATGAGTGCTGCCAAGGGAAAAAGGCCGTTCAGACTTTCAATATATTTTGTGTACAAATAGCCGTCTATGGAAAATTTACCATCATATGATAGATTTTCCATAGACGGCTAACCGAACACAAAATATAATTGAAAGTCCGAACGGCCTTTTTCCCTTGGCAGCATTCATATTATACATAACCCAGTCATTCTATGACGTAAGAAAGGTGACGTGGACATTAATATGACGCGTAAGCATTATGGTCTGTAAACGAACAATCTAGTTAAGGAATCATCGTAATTAAGGATAAATAGTATCATTAAGAGAGACGTTAGTAGTGTTCAAAGATAAGCTGGCTTATCACGGCTTGCTGCGGCTTACTGCGGCTTATCACGTGATAACTTCGAATTTATCACCAAGCCATGTGATAATCTCGAAATTATCGCGCGATATAGTCGAGATTATCACATGGCTTGGTGATAAATTCGAAGTTATCACATGATAAGCCGCAGTAAGCCGCAGCAAGCCGTGATAAGCCGGCTTATCTTTGAACACTACTTAAAGTATTCATGGAAAATAAAAAATATGAAAAATAGCAATTTATATGATAAAACCTCGACTATTTCTTCATTTAGTGCTACAACCCAATACCCTTGGTGGCTTTCATTTTTCCTTTATTTTTGTTTTATTGATATTAATAAATAAGAACCCCTCAAGTATTAATTACAATATTTATCTTGATTGATTATATTAATGAGAATCGTTCTAGTTAATCATATTAAAAAAAATTTTACTTTGATTTCAAATCTGCAAAGGTCACACCTTTTTGCAGCAAAAAAAAACTACAGTTTAATTATATGGCTCATAGTTCAAAAATTCACTTGATGATTTAAGGATTCCATTAGTAATTGATCCAAAAGATTCATTTGCGTTAGGATATCATGTGCTTTTTACTATGTAAAGAGTCATCTGCAGATTTAAATAAACTAAAAAATTCGTTCGCTTTGCGACCGCTCTGAATAGTTTACTTTAATGTAAAAATGCATAATAAATTACTCGAGGATTTTGATAATTTATCAAAACTCGAATGCTAGTATCTGAAGGTGGATAATTTATGCTGCATTTGAAATCGCTCGCTCGAAAGATCAGTTAGATATCTTTTTTTGTGGTTAAATTGTTCTAAATAACAATATCATGATTTCCTTAAATAAATACTTTAAAATTTACAAAAGATGATTAGTTGGATATTTCTTTTTACGGTTAAAAATTCCTGGTGTGAACTGTCGCAGATCACTATGTTATAGGGAATTCACAATATTTTCCAGATTTCCAGAGTTTCAAGGCCCGAAGTTTAATTTTTACTAACCTTAATTTCTACTTCGATTTCCCACATAGGTATATGGAAATTGTTTTCATACATTTTTGAAAACGGATGTAAATAATCAATGTCTTATTCTAATTGAATAAAATCCTTCATATTAATGAGTTTTTTGCTAAAAATTTCTTTGCGAATATTAGATATGTGAATCTTTGTTCCAACTTTGTAAAATGTCATGATTATCCTCTGTACAGATAAGAACTCTGTTTGCAATAGGACTTTTGATATATATTTATACAGCTGACTCGTAGGAAGGAATTTGCCTGATTAATTTTTATGGAACTACAGTATCCGTATTACTCATGATATTCGCTGATCAAATTACACGATTTTAAAAGACATTCATTAATACATAAACAAAAAACTTACTAAATTAATAAATATACAAAAGAATTACTTAATTTCATATATTTAAGGGTTACGGGTTAACTTCCCGAAATCAATTTTACTGAAATACCATTTCACCGAAGTCACTATACTGACATCCCATTTTACTAACAAGACATAATTTCGAAAGTCCCATTTTGTCGAAAGTTCATTTCACTGAAAATAAATTTTACCAATAAGTCATTTATCTGCAATTTTTATTTCACCGAATACTAAAAAAATGAATGTCTATTTTACTGACATGCTATTTTACCGAATGGTACATTTTTCTGACATTCTATTTCTTCGAAAGTATCTTACTGAAAGCTCTTTTACCGAAGGATGTTTTACCGAATTTACAGCTATTCTTATTAATTCTGGGTCACTTGATAAACCAAAAATGGTTCTACTACAAAATTTGAAGCCACTAGAGGTCCAATCCTGATAAATCCGTCGTATCTGAATTATCCGATCGGATAAACAGATCCGATATCCGGATAATCCGACTGATATTCGGGTAATTATTCGAATATCAATAGTATCGGATATCCGATAATTATTCGGGTAAACGCTATCCGGATTGGACCTCTAGAAGCCACATTCCAGAAAGAATACTGACCAAATTGGCCAGCATTATAACTAATACCAGCTAACTTTGTCGGTATTAAATACTTTCGGGAATGGAATTGGTAGTAAAATTTCAAAAATGGCATAAACTAATTTGCAAACAACTTAATTCTATTAAGAAAACATCCTTTTTGCACTTATATGTCTATTTTAATTTATGTTTATACTTTCCAAGCTTTTTTAATATTTTGTTTTTTTTTTTCTTCCGGTATGATGAACTGATAATCAGTGATCGTCAAAGGCCATCATAATGAAAGAATTTGATCTTTTTTTCATTCGTTCGATTGTATAATGTAACATGTAATAAAAAAAAGTAGAAAATGTGTCGTACGTATAGTATCACCTGGAACTGTTATTGTCACTGAAGAATGTATTCTGATTGTTCTTTGACTTATTATGATTGCTTTTTGAGGTATATTAGGATCTGTGTTACTTTACAGACAATTGCTTCATAGATGTCTTATTTCACAGACATTTCATAAATTGGGGTTTCAAAGTTAACAAATAAGCGACGTATTTCGAAAATAAATAGGACTTTTTTCAATAATATTTTTACTATATTGAATTATAAATCGGAAAAATAAAATAAGATTCGCTGATTTTAACTTTGAAACCCCTAATAGCTTTATTTTATCAATATCACGATACACATTTTTCTTATAATTTATGCTAACTTTGAAATGAGCTGTTGGTTAAATAAAATGAATTAATTTGTCTATGAAATGAACTTTGTAAAATAAATTTATCTGTAAACTAATTGTCTATGAAATGAAATGTCGGCGCCAGTTCATTTATGTAATAAATATGATATACCCGGGTCTCTTACAAAATTCCTTGTCAAAAATTTGTAAAATACATGGATATTATATTCGGTAAAAAAAAAAAGTGCTATGCAAAATAGCCAGATCTTTTGCATGGGGTATTTAGAAAGGGTGATACTTTGGTCAGTGCACTATAGTAGGTGTTATCCCTATAAAAAATGAACTCCGGAATATATCGATTATATTTCCATAAATATGATTATAGCCCCTTAAAATTTCCATATATATATAAAGAATAACAACTAGACAAATACTCTGTCCGTATTTTCCCATAATATTACTTATTAATTGTTTATATAAAGAACTCTTTTACTTAAATATGGAAATAATACGGAATATACTTAAATATAACTATTTAAATTTTTTCTATAAACATTTGGAAATGGAAATAAAATTGAATATATAGTACTATAAAATTTATTATGAAAAACTGATTAAAAAAGCTAAAATAATGGAAATAGCTTAAAAATATTTTCCAGATAATTTGAGCATTTTTTCCTTTTTTTATAATAAATTATTGGGGAATTTACATATAAGGGCCTATAAAATGAAAATAATTACATATAAGGGCCTAAATTTTGAAAAATTTTACAATTAAAGGTCAAAGTAACTTTGCATTATGATGATAGTGGTTCTTTGAATGTATATATGTATTGATTTATACATTTTGTACTTGTTGAACTTTCTTTTAACTAAGAAACAATTCAGCTATGATATAA